TCTTATTTTTCGATCGAGATCTTCCCACAGAAGTTCGATCGGGTTGAGGTCTGGCGATTGCGGCGGCCATGTCATATTTTCCAAGACACCATCAGCTTTTTTTTGCTCTAAATAACTGCGGCAGAGGATCGACGTATGTTTTGGGTCGTTGTCTTGCTGGAAGACAAAACCACGGCCGGGTCCTCTTAATCCAGAGGGAATCGCATGACGAACGAGAATATTTTTATATTGCTCTTTTCTCATTATTCCATCAATTTTCACTAAATCTCCGGTTCCATGGCCAGAAAAACATCCCCACACCATCACTGAGCCACCTCCATGCTTCACAGTAGGCACTATACACTGAGGTGTCATTTTTTCGGACGCACTTCTTCTCACATAAATTCTACGTCGAGAGCCAAATATTTCATACTTGGATTCGTCACTCCAGAGCACATTTTTCCATTGATCCATCGTCCAGTTTCGATGCCTTTTAGCCCATTGTAGTCTTTTCTTTTTATTCTCTTTACGTAGTAATGGTTTTTTCACTGCAACACATCCTTTGAGTCCGGCAGCGTTTAATCTTCTTTTTACAGTTGTTAGTGAAACCGGTTTTTCACGACTTCTGTTGATGTCTGCGCATATTTCGGGAGCTGTTAACCGTCTATTCCGTTTACTGGTAACCACTATATGCTTACCTTCGCGAGAAGTAGTTACTTTTGGACGTCCGGTTCGAGGACGATCGTGATGATTACCCGTGTCTTCAAATCTTTTGATCGTTGAATGCACACCTTTCAATGAAATTTTCAATTTTTTGGCAATTTCACGATATGAGATATCTTCATTATGTAATGCCAATACAGCTCCCCTTTTTTCAAGTGGAATTTCTTTACGTTTTCCCATGACTGAGCCGTATAATATAAATATGTAAGCCAAAACTTTTACAAATTCCTAAATAAAAAAAAATATTCGAGACAACTTAAAGACGCTTACAGTTTTGACTCAAATGAGGGAAATCAAATACAAGACTTATAAAAAAACAATACTGACAAACCAAAGTAATATGGATAAAAGTTTAAAGCCAAAAAAGGAAACAAAAGTAGAACATCACAATAAATTTCTCATCGATAATAAACTCTCATATCGTCAATATTATGAAAACAAACGGACTGGCAAAAATTCTAAGTTCATACTACTTTTATCTAAAACCTTAATCCTCAAGTTACCTGGAAAGGCTTGATTCTGTGTCATTATGAGCAAAAAATACTTTTTTCGAGGCAAAACTCCTGGAAAAATACATATTTCGAAATCAGAACGAAGTGTTTCCAAACTTTTGGCCGGCAGTGTATATTTAGCAACCTGTAACGGGATGTGAATTTCGTTTTAATTTCTTTGTCTTACCCGATGCGCAGTCATACCGGAATGCGTGTGGCGAGATCGAAATAATCAATTTTATTAACTAACCGGAGAGCAGGAGAGGACAGGTGTCAGTCAACCAACTTACTAATAGCAAAGACAGCAATAGATTATCGTTTCAATTATACATGGACTAGTTTATTTATTATGTAATCTACAACATGTTTAGCCCGCGCATTTACGCTTATACGGTGTATGCGACAGTCTTACAATCGGTCGAGTTAATCGCTTGCATGTTTGCTCGCCGCCGATTTTCTTGTATTCTCAGGTGTAAGGGGAGAACAAAGATGTTACGCGCGGTCGTTTATCGAAACAATAACGCGAAGCTGGCCAGCTTACCTTATGCGCTTACCTTATTCGCGCTGTCAAGGGGAGCAGTTCAATATCGTAGTTTAGCGCGTGGCTCAGGTAGTCATTATTCCGCTTAAACACGAGGCTCTCTCTGTCGTCGTGCTGCTTCCATCAGACGGATTCAGCAATCTCGTGGCTGGCCTCCGATGGCGTCTCAGCTAGCTACTCGAACTCGCAGCAACAACAAAGAACTATGGGCCGTTTAACGTTCACATTCCTTGTGGTGTTCACACACACGCACGCCTTTGCCGATGCTAGAGGCACTCCTCGATTCGGACACGTTATTCGCGATTATCGGTTAGCTGCGCAACTCTAGCGTTAGTACTCCTGGACTCCTGCACGTTGTTACCGGTGATAAAGGTGCTTTCCCACTGGTCCTTTCTTTTTCGCGTGCGTTCCTTCCCATTTCAGACCGAGTTCCCGTTTTCGACTTACCCGGGCCGGTAGGTGCTATCCTCGCAGGCAGCCGCGCGATCGAGACGGTAACGCAAACCAGTCGTTTACCGTCACAAACCATAATAACGATCAATTAAAACATAAAAAATAAGCAAGGCTCTTTGTGTTGCCTACGACGAAGTCAAAATCTTTCATACACTTACTGTTAATAGATTGAGAATACTTTTATAGGAATGAAAACTCACTTTTTAATATATTATATTATTAATTTAATGTAAATATATTTGAGATTAATGTAAAAATTTATAGTGATTGTACCCGTAAGTTATATAGTAAGATATTAAGTTATTAAACATGTGTATGATAGGTTTTTCTGTTGTGTGTATATATATATATATATGAAATATATATGAATGAAAATTTTATGATTTGTTATAAAAATATCGATATTTCAATAAAAGGATCAGGTAGGATTTTCATTGTCTTGGATTCTAATGGTTAAAATAATAACTAATAAAATCTCGTATCTAGAGTTTTGCGGGTTTTCAAGTAAACTTTTTTTTTCTTCCCGGATACCGTAAGTACAAGCTACTAAGAATTTCATAATGAAGAGTTGTAAAATTAATCCAACATCAAAGAAATTATTTTTTTATTTTTTAAAGTAATTAAGGAAGCTGTTGGCACAGAACGGTCGATTGACAACACCGGTGGAGTTTTATACTATGATGTGATATAGCGAATGGCTATTTGATCGGACCTTATTTTTTCGAAGGAAACGTTAATACTAACACCTATTTAGAGTTGAAGAGGGATCGATTACCAGAAATTTTAGAAAATTTTGATTTAGAAATAAGAAGAAGAATATGGTTCCAGCAGAATGGCTTAGCACCTCCTTCGTGCGACTTATTCGTAACTTTTTGGACGTGACTTATGGACGAAAATGGCTCAGATGAAGAGATCCAGGTAACTGATCAGCTTATTACCAGATCTCACATCTTTTGATTTTTTTTGGGGATATCTGAAGAATATTATTTACGTAAAACAGCCAATAACGAGGCAGGATATGATAGTTCGCATCCGCCAAGCTTGCAGAGCTATTTCCAGGGCGTTTGAATCTATGCCTTGCAGCAAATGGAACAATTTTGAACAGCGATTCGTGGATAAGAACAGTGCAAAACGAAAAAGCACGGTAAAAAAGAATTATAGTGAGAGGCAAATGGATCTACACGTGTTTAATCGTCTGAACGTAAGATTTCACATATAATCCAAATTCGTGATAAAAAATAGAGGTTCCCATTTAAAATAGAACATTGATCTTGGAATGACTTTAAAGTTGAAGGGGGGGGGGTTAACCCCACCTCATACATGTTACATCTTTTGAACATAGAATTTCACGTAGAATCTGAATCCTTGATAAAAAATAACGGTTCTAATTTTAACAAAACATTAACTTTGTGATGACCTTAACGGATCATGTTCAAAATCAAATCCAAGGTCACCAAAACATGACCTCCAAAAGTTAAGTAACTTTGTATGAAACGTTTTTCGAAAAAACGCTCATCAATCCAGATATTCAAATGGATCTATTAAATTTAGCCATCCTGCATAAAACAATCATTTTCAATACATAAATTGTCATAACGGCTTCAGTATCCTATTAAGTTCATGCAACATTCTATTTTTAAAATGGATTATCTTTTAAATATTCAAGATTTTCATGTCTTAATTAATATTTTTATTTATAAAGAATTTGCTTATTTATCATGAGATATTAATACTTTTTCTAATATATTTTTTTTAACAATTATATAATTGGCTTAAGCTTCTTATCACACATCGTGAAGTGAATAAATGGTTAGAAATAAATCATCATGATATGTTTTGCAGATCTGGTATTGTACCATATAAAATTTTATCACGTGTTTTGTGCAATCTTTTACATACTCGTAGAAATATTTATGTAAAAGGATTAAAAAAGAATCAATGGTTTAAAAAAGTACTATTTGGAAAGTAAGTATAACAAATTTTATAATCATATACTGTTTAGAAATAAAAATTCATATTAAATATTTATTTTTCAGTGATAGAATAATCATTCATCTTGAAAGTGATATGAGGTACTGTCTATTGAAAGAATTACCTATTCCATTAAGGATGTATGTACTGAGTTTGTATGTACTATTGCAAATATATAAAAATTAACTAGTTTGATTTAAGAGAGGTATAAGAAATATAAATCAAATGGCATAGCTGAAGTTGATTATCATACATACAAAAATACAACTAAATATTTCGAAATACAAAGAATAATTATCATAGATAAAATGTTCTATAGTTAATATATAACTGAAAAAGAAAAGTAATAATCAATTCAAAATGTCTATTAATTCTATCAATCAAAAATTAATAAAAATAGCAGGTAGGTTGACGGAGTAAGATACTTGAGAAGTCAAGCAACTGTATTCAGAGTCTTGATCTCTCTCTAAATCGGCTAAGGCTTATATAGCGCTCGGCAGGGACTCGCGATATTTCTAGGAGAGAGAGAGAGGAGAGAGAGAGAGAGGAGAGAGAGAGAGAGGAGAGAGAGAGAGAGAGAGAGAACGAGTGATTGAAGGGAAATGCTCTCTACCACGCGCGATCTCTTATATAACTGTCCTAAAGTATACATTGCTTATTTATTTTTCTATGGAGCTTCTAAACAATCTATAATAGTAATTGTAGTTTGTTCATAAGCTATGCTTTGGTATTAATCATTTAAAACCACGTTGATATCGTTTCTCACATCAACTTTACAACAAAATAATAATGTATTGATGTTATTTTTTGATCCACTTCAATTGGCTTTCTGTTTCTTTCAGAGCTACAATGGAAGATAAAGCAGAAATAGAAAAATCTATATTAAGTATTGGATTAGTCCGAGATGGATCTCCTTGTGGTGATAACTTGGTAAGTTTAAAACTTCTGTACGTCATATTATTGAGTAGTCATTAAAATATAATTAGACAGATAATCCTTAGTCAATGACTCACTGATTAGTTCATCAAATTATTATTAGAATTATTATTAGAACGGTCTCGACATAGGTTGATACGAATTTATAATTACTCTCATTTTATATCTTCTTTTCCAAAAGATTGAAAAGCAATGTTACATCCAATTTTTTCTTTAAGATATCGTTTATCTGTCAATTAATTTATTCAGCTAAAGAACGTATCATCTGTATCATTAATAAGATCATTATATATAGGGAGCCAAATTTTCATCAGTTATAGATTAAAAGTTTTTTTCAAACCGTAGGAAGGTAGTACGGTGTGAGTTGTCGTGCAAATAAGATGTGTTTGCTGTTTCTTCAGCTTACAATACGAGTGTTTATATACTTGCGACGCGGTAAGTCCACGACGTGCTTTGTCTCGTATTGCAATATCCTATTACCTTACGAAAAAGTTTTACAAGCTAATCATAACTATCAGTGAAATAAATCAAGACAATGGCTTTCCAACTCTTTAACAGTGCAAAAAATTCAAAAAATACGTAAAACACAAAGAAAGAAGGATCAATGCTCTCCAAAGTAATGACTAATAGCATGTTTCCAAGGAAAAGTCAAGCAATAGTTACCGACGCAGTTCAAGGAGTAGATATAAAAATATATTTGAACGCCATCACCACTAAAACTGCTCCCATTAACATTGTTGCTGCATCAAAGATATCGCAGAACAGATTTTGCTGCTACTTAAACAAAATAAATTTAGTCGATCAACTAACAAAAGAGGGAAATAATAACGTTGAAATCAACGGTAAAACTTTGAAAGTGAGACCCTACGTGTTAAAGTTCAAATGAGTAATTTTTTCCAATGTGTATTCTATACGACATCATTATTAAGGAATGAAAACATAGAGGTATTTCCTCCCAATTCCAGCATGACCTTTATAAGGCTAGGTTTCGACGAAACTGGTTTCTTGCAAAATCTCAGTTTTCGACAATTATTTATTAGCTCAACTGACGTAAACAAGCTGTCAAATAAATTTATATAAATCATGAAGATACTATTCATTACATACGTATATCTATCTACTGACAAAATAACATGCTATGTTTGTAACTTAGGAGAGCAAACTGCAAAATATTACTCGACTGCAAAAAGTTTACACAGAACTCCACAGTACAGACGGCAAACACGATAATTAAAAATGAAAATACTCAAAATGTCGATGACGCCATATTGCTCAGTGTAAAACTCAAGAAAATAAAACTAAAGATATTTACAACACAGATACTCCTTAGCAAACGTGCCACTGTTCAACAAACTGTCTAAACCTGCATATTTCGTACGTGCGCTGTCTATCTCTCTCTCCCTCTCTCTCTCTCTCTTTCTTTCACTTTCTTCCTTGCGACGCTTTCTCATTCCCTTCGAGACGCTCTCCTTCGGACTTGTTCAGCCTCATCCGGCAATCATTGGTGGCTGAAATAAAGGCCAGTAGTTAGGGGCATGTTCAGTATGCCCTCAACACTGGCCAATATACCTTCCCGAGAGCAGGGAAAATTTAAGGATAACAGACGAAGTCACAAACTAAAAGTCGTAATTCAACTTTGGCGTTAAAGTTATTATGTTATAATGTTTAGTTCTATAATCCAAAACGGTATGCACAATCATGAATATTATATTTTTTAATTTGAAAAATAAAGCAGACTTTTATTCCATATCATATTCTATATAAGATTGTTAGAATATGACATAAATTTATGTTAGGCTCTGCAGTACCATACACTGTATCGAATGCATTGATTAGCAGTACGATGCACTCTTCGAAATTTTTGTGAGTGCTGAGTTGTGTAATTACAACTCAGCAATTATCGGATATGAAAAAGCAACGAAGTCAAGCGTCTAATTTAAGTGTGTACAGTCTGTCAAGTAAGAGTGTGGCGGCTCCTACCGGAAACAGGTAAATCGTACCTTTGGTTCCTACTGTGGGTAATGTAGATTCCACCTATGCCTTTGATACTTTGTAAAAGAATTGCGCCGGGCCGACGATTTAGTCAATGTTTGGCAAGGTGCAAGCAATGAGTGTTATTTTATACTAACTTAATTCATTCGTTAAGAATTGTTACATAATTAATCATTCACAACAACAATAACAATAATAATAACAATAATGCAGGACTGGCCGAGTGGGTGGTAACTTCTCACTAGGTAAACGCCAACTTTCAACGTCCATGATCGTACTCTGTAGAAACTTTGTTAGCTGCGTCAGTGCTCCTGGCAACAATGCTACAGCGGACGCGGCTAAGAGAAAGCAATGACTCACAGTGGAATAGTGGTACCTTACTGATCTGTACAACCATTCATCACACGCACACACTTACATGAACCCAAACTTGCTCCACATGATGAATGAGGGCCCTACCCTATAAATGGGTATCGTCTGAGAGTGAGAAGAGGGGCGATCTATAAATGGTTAAACCATTATCTAGATAGGTTTTACCGAGGACTATAACCGGGTATCTCCCGGATTCAAATGAAGTAAGCAAACTGTGCCCAGCAGATGCAAGTCAACAAAGAGGAACAGAGGTGAAAGGATATTTTGGAAGCACTCCGAACATACAGAGTGCCTTCATTCCTGATGCGCGTAATGGAGGAGTACTTATGAAACAGATGGATTAGATACGAGACGACAAATGAGACGGTGTCTAGACGGATCTTTGTAGGAGTCGCTCAGGGATTTGTTCTAGGCCTAGACCTTTGAAATATACTATATGATATAATACTTACAAGGGAACATTCCCAACCGTCCGCCTTCAGTTTTGTTGCAATAGAGATATGTTGTACTTTATAAAAAAATAAGAGACACGTATTTTTTTATCGGCGGAAAAAACTGCCTAGGAGGTGGAAACCACCCTCAATATTCACCCCTAAAAACAGTTAAAGAGTAGTAACTTTGGTTGTAATGAATATTTTTTGATGAAAGAAAATGGAAAAAATTTCTTACTTAAAAAACAACGAAACCGCATAGTCTTGGACTCGTGAGTTTGCAACTCCTACAATGTACAGGGGAAAAATTATATTTTTGTGTTGATTTATACAGAATCACAAAATGATCATAAAAATTAAAAAATAAATTTTCATCTAGAACATGACAAAATCATATTGACCAGTTTCGGTTTTTTTTCGTTAATCAATATTTCGACGGTGAACCACCATTAAACCTTACTACAGCTATATAAATAGTTGCCAATCACCAATTTCGCTGATTTTTCATTTACTATGACGCTTAAAAATTAATGAGAGAATTATACTGTCGTTGTGCTAGAAAAGGAATTTGGGGTCCGGAAACCACCTTTAAAAGCCATCCCCGAAACCCTGTTACAGCAATATTTTCGTTATTTATGACTATTTTTCGTTATTTATGACAATTGCTTTAGAACTAACTTCCAATTTTATAAGAATATCTACAATCCCGTTTTTTACTATTCATGTAGTTCGAACTGCAAAACTTGTTTTGTTCACTCAAGTTACATATGTTATCATATTCTATTGGCCTATTTCACTGAATAGAAAGAAACTGTTATAATAGAATTTCAATCTTGGTTTGCCTGGTTAACCGCAATCAAACCGAATTTTAATATTTGTTCACCACGTTAACAGCAACGATATGCGACACGTATATATATATATACACTGCCGGCCAAAAGTTTGGAAACACTTCGTTCTGATTTCGAAATATGTATTTTTCCAGGAGTTTTGCCTCGAAAAAAGTATTTTTTGCTCATAATGACACAGAATCAAGCCTTTCCAGGTAACTTGAGGATTAAGGTTTTAGATAAAAGTAGTATGAACTTAGAATTTTTGCCAGTCCGTTTGTTTTCATAATATTGACGATATGAGAGTTTATTATCGATGAGAAATTTATTGTGATGTTCTACTTTTGTTTCCTTTTTTGGCTTTAAACTTTTATCCATATTACTTTGGTTTGTCAGTATTGTTTTTTTATAAGTCTTGTATTTGATTTCCCTCATTTGAGTCAAAACTGTAAGCGTCTTTAAGTTGTCTCGAATATTTTTTTTTATTTAGGAATTTGTAAAAGTTTTGGCTTACATATTTATATTATACGGCTCAGTCATGGGAAAACGTAAAGAAATTCCACTTGAAAAAAGGGGAGCTGTATTGGCATTACATAATGAAGATATCTCATATCGTGAAATTGCCAAAAAATTGAAAATTTCATTGAAAGGTGTGCATTCAACGATCAAAAGATTTGAAGACACGGGTAATCATCACGATCGTCCTCGAACCGGACGTCCAAAAGTAACTACTTCTCGCGAAGGTAAGCATATAGTGGTTACCAGTAAACGGAATAGACGGTTAACAGCTCCCGAAATATGCGCAGACATCAACAGAAGTCGTGAAAAACCGGTTTCACTAACAACTGTAAAAAGAAGATTAAACGCTGCCGGACTCAAAGGATGTGTTGCAGTGAAAAAACCATTACTACGTAAAGAGAATAAAAAGAAAAGACTACAATGGGCTAAAAGGCATCGAAACTGGACGATGGATCAATGGAAAAATGTGCTCTGGAGTGACGAATCCAAGTATGAAATATTTGGCTCTCGACGTAGAATTTATGTGAGAAGAAGTGCGTCCGAAAAAATGACACCTCAGTGTATAGTGCCTACTGTGAAGCATGGAGGTGGCTCAGTGATGGTGTGGGGATGTTTTTCTGGCCATGGAACCGGAGATTTAGTGAAAATTGATGGAATAATGAGAAAAGAGCAATATAAAAATATTCTCGTTCGTCATGCGATTCCCTCTGGATTAAGAGGACCCGGCCGTGGTTTTGTCTTCCAGCAAGACAACGACCCAAAACATACGTCGATCCTCTGCCGCAGTTATTTAGAGCAAAAAAAAGCTGATGGTGTCTTGGAAAATATGACATGGCCGCCGCAATCGCCA